TCTCGAGTGCGGGCGCTGGGAGTGTGGGGTCCTGAGAAGAGGAAGGCCCGAGACCGTGGGAGTCGAGGGGCCGGGACCGGAGCGCGAAGGGGACCCGGGAGTGTGGGGACCCGACGCGGAGGGGGACCCGGGGGTGTAGGGACTCGACGGGGAGGAGGACCCGAGAGTGTAGGACGTGAGGACAGGGGGATCCGGGAGTGTGGGGACCTCAGGGGAAGCGGGAGCTGATAGGGAAGGGAACCCGGGAATGAGGGGACCATACAGGGAGGGAGCGTGGGGGCCCGCAGGGGAAGGGGACCTAGCTGCGCGGTTCCTGGAGGGTGAGACTGAGGATCTGGGAGTGTGGGGTGAGGCGTGGAGTGCTAGGAATATGGGTGACAGCCCAGAACAGGTGCCTGCGTGGAGTGGGAGCCCGAGAATGTGGGTGACTAGGAGGTGGTTTCTGAGGGGGCCGTGAGAGACCGTGGAGAATCTCAAGATAAAGGACCCTATGAGCAGGAGCTCAGAGATCTACGTCTTAGGCTCTTGCTGGCTGCTTCTACTTTGGCCTTTGATTTAAGCTAAAATTCAGTGATTTACTGACAATTTTCATTCTAAGATTCAGTCCCAAAATGTTTTGAGATGAGGGAGAAGCCTAGATGGCTCATTGATTTCCTTCATGATAGTAATTGGTGCAGTAGCAATGAAGGGGCTCCTGATGGCGTGGGGAGCTCTGTTTGCAGCATTAGGGTGGCCCCTCAGGAAGAGCAGCTGTCTCCCCAGGGCAGAGCTTGGGTCCTTGAGGCAGTGACACCTTCCTCCACGAGGAAGGAGCAAGACCACTGCTCGGGATGGGCCACCACATGCCTCAGTGGTAGTGTGGTGGCCTGTTTACCCAGGTGCCCCAAGTTGGCCAGCGCTCATACCCCACTGCACCCAAAGTATGGTTTAGGAAGTCAAGATCTAATAGGCGTTACCACAGGGAAGGCCTATCCTTGGTCAGTCCTGAGCAAGGTCCCCACTTGAAGCTGGGCCACTGGTGGGAACAGGCCCAATCCAGGATCCCTGACTACATCTGCACCAGCCCTAGGAGCTACAAATGTTGGCTCTGCTTATCTGAGAGTCCAAAGGCACAAAGACACCTAGAAGCAGAAGGCAAGCCAGCCAAGCCCACACCCTTCCTTCCTCTACCCTTGAGAACTAAACATAAACTAACAAGTTGAAGGGTCTCTCGAGAGATAATGCGAAAGTAAAACAGTGTCCTAACAAGACACAAAAACCTTCACAGAACAGGGAGGGAGACAAGACAACCACTTCTTAAACAGTGGAAGCAATGTTCAGAGGGGTGAAGAAGAAAATTCAACATGAGGCATCTCAGAAGGACATTCTAGAATTCCAGTGACTAAGAGTCCCGCTCCAGACCCCTAAGAGAGGAGGATCTTCTTTAAATAGACAATGGATGGAGGATGAATTATCACAGTTCTAAGAGAGTTGAACCTACACAGCATCTAAGTGAGGCAGCAAGATGAGATGTACTTGCAGCCCATAAACATCCACACTTACTACAACACAGCATCACTTCAAAGCTACTAAATATGCCTTAGCAAAATGAAAGGTGAATCCCGAGTGAGACAGATGTCAGCACAGAAACCAATGTGAACTGTTACGATCGTAACGTAAGACAACACCTCCCCACCCCCATTAACTCTGCATGACTTGGTAGAGAAGTAAATGTGCACTGAGTTCCTAACTTGCTTGTTAGAAGGTTTTAGAATGTGTAGGGGGGAAAAAAGGTTAAAAGTATCAAGGTTTCCTCTAGAAAAATGGAAATAAGATTTACAACCTTCAAAACAGGTGAAGAACAGGTAAAGTAACAACACCAACGAAAAGATAAGAGCCTGAAGCATGGTCAGTACAGAACATTACATGAGCTGGCTGGAGTAAGTTCAAACACTTGAGTAATCAGAGGAAGGTGGTTGAATTAGTTCATTTGTAAACAAGCACTGACTTTTAAGATTGGGGTAGAAATATTGTTAAATACTATTACAAGACACGAGTGTCCAAAATTCATTTCCTGAATTTGTTGCTGGTAACCCAGCGACAAATAATTTCACCATAGGCCAAATATTGGCCTCTGCCCACTGCTTTAATCTAAATTTATCAGGTGCTTAGCATTCACTTCTTCTGGTCAAGAAGACTTCCTTTACTTAGTGCAAACTTAGGGATACAATTAAAATTATACTTTATGAAAAAATATACCTGAGAAATAACCCTGAGTGATTAAAAGCAAAGGGATGGAAAGTATGAATCCTATTTTTGTTCCTCAAAAGACATTATGAAGAGAAAGAAAAATAAGTGATATTTGCAACATGCATACCTTCCAAATGATTGGTATTGTGGTTTATATCCAGATGTCCCCCAAGAGCCTCATATACTCATAGGTGTGGCTTTCGGCAGGTGATTGAATTATGGGGCATTATAGCTACTTGCTATTAGGAGGAATGGACTGGTCAGAAGAGGCAGGTAGGTTACTGGGGCAGGACCCAGAAGGGTTTATTTCACTCTGCTTCCTGGATGCCATGCTGTAAACAGCTCTCCTCTTCCAGACCCTTTACTATACTGCCTTAGCCTATACCCGGCCAAACATAGAAGTACTGAAATTTCTAAAACGTGAGCCAAGATAAACCTCTCTTCCTTGAAGCTGCAGGTGTCAGGTATTGTGTCCCAGCAATGAGGAAAGTAACTAAAACACATTTTGGCATCAGAGAAGTGGAGTCATTGCTATGACACTACCTGATCGTGTGGCTCAGAAACCTCTGGAACTGGTTCAAAGAAGGAATTTAGAAAGGTCTGGAGAAGCAGCCCTACAGTGGTGTAAGCAGAGATCGGTGTGCAATACTGGTCAGAGCTCAAAAGATCAAAAAGCTGACCAGTGCAGCCAGTAAAGAAGAGGCTCTGGATGTTTCAGTTGGGACAAAATAACTTTATTGGCAGTGGACTCCATGTGTTATGCTTTGGCAGAAACTTTATCTACATTTTGTTCATGTCCTAAAACTGTAGGAGTCTGAGTTTAAAGTTGGGAACTAATCTGGCAGAGGAAATTTCAAGGCAACCCAACATTCAGGCTGTGGCTTGACTACTGTTGGAAGCTTTTAGCCAGCTTTATATGAAAATCAAGAACAAACAGCAAAGCTAGATTAATGAAAAAGTTTTGCATTTGGCCAGAAAGAAAGCTCTGCAAAAGTTGGGGCCTGAGAATCAGAACAGAACTGAGCTTGGTTGCCAAAAAGATTAGCATTAAAGAGAAGCCACAACTGGGCATGGTGGCACACACCTGTAATCCTAGCACTTGGGAGACTGAGGGCAGGAGGACTGGCATGAGTATGAGGCCAGAACAAACTACATAGAAAGACCCTATCTAAAAACAAGAAAGAAAGAAAGAAATAGAAACAGCAGCCAAGTACTTTACAATAGGACCATAGGAAAATGGCTCAAAGACCTGGGAAACTGCTAGGCACCACCCTTCAAAGGCTCAAAATTGCAAAAGTGAAAGACTGAAAGACTTTGCTTTGAGAAGACAACCCCAGGGACCAAGATCAAAAATGGCTGGCTAAGGACTTTGTTGCCCTGGATTTAGTTCACAGTGTTCAGCCATTCAGACACTCAGAGACCTCTGCACACGTTACAAGGGAACCTGGCTACTGCTTGAGCTGATGGCAGACCTTGGCCTTATCCATGTGGCACTGGTTTTATAGGCATGCAGAATGTAAGAGTCGTAGAGTCATGGAAACTTCCAAACAGATTTCAGAAGAAGTCCTGTGAGTCCAGGCAGTGAGCCCCTGAGAGGTCAATGCATCGAGCTGTGAGAGTGAAGCCAAAAGTGCAGTGGAGACCCCAGAAAGTTGGAAAAGCCAGGAATGGAGACTGGCTTAAGAAAACCACAAGATATGAGCAAAGCCAGTCCAAGAGAGAGAATGGGGGGGGAGGTTTTACAGCCACCAGTAATGTCATAAGGGCAGAGCCACTCAAGCCCTTTGGAGTTCATACTTCATTGCCACAACTTGTCCTGGGTGCTGGCCCTGGAATTACAAGACAATTTTGTCCTGCTTGATTTTGGTCTTACTTTGATCTCATTTCTTTCTTTTCCCCTATTCCTATCTTTTGGAATGGGAATATGTATCTTGTGCCACTGTATGTTGGAAATATTTCATTTTCTGTTTTATTTTTACAGA